ATGGGTTAAATAGTAGAACTTGTATTTGAAAAGCCTTATTATCTACAAATATTGTTAATATAGTATTCAATCTCAAAATGGACTTCTTGTAATCCAATAATATGTTTTGGTTTTAAATAACTTACAAAAGGTTGATAATCCGTAAAAAATTTTCTTCGCTCGGACCTCTCGTTTTCTTCCGATTTTCTGCATTCCTGTCAACTACGATCTTCAAAGATTTGTCAATAGTCATCTTCTGTCTCCTTAAATTCTGTTCTTTTGCTGTCCTCTCTATTTCTTTTACTCTCAGTAACCCCTTGCATACTAGTAGAAGTTATTACCTTGTTTGTTGTGGAATGATTAAAAAAAACCGCAATGAAATCGGGGGGGGGGATTTTATTATGCAACACGTAAGTTGCCCATCTTATTGTAAGTAAGTTTATATATTTGTACAATTATTGCAATTTATTTTTAAATGTCACCTATATAAAGATTATCATGTGCTCTGAGAAAGGGATAACTTCAAAAGAGAAAAAATATATTTGAATCTTACTTCACTGGAAATTTTAATTTCTTTTTGTTGTTTATCATAGAAGAATTTTGAATTTTTTTTATTTATCACAGAACAGTCAAAAAATAATACGAAAATAAAACAGGCTTTTAAGAATGTTACGAATATTAAGAGATTTGAGAAAAACTAAAAACTAATAAGCAAGTTAATTAGATTTACCTGAAAGAAAATATTCGAAGCATCTAGTGTTTTGAATTTAAACAGATAGAAAGGAATATTAAGAACTAATAGTAAGAACATTGTCGAAAGGCATGAAAGCAACTAAACTACTACTTTAAGTAAACATCACAAAGAGAAACGTGTAATTTGGGTGAAGACGTACATGAAAATTTCTTTCTTACCAGTAAGTTTTAATGATGAATGTAGAGCTACATTGTATGAACATGATGACAGTTTAAGCAATAAGAAACACGATTGAGGAATATACGAGAGTAAGTCAAAAATTATACGCACTTTCGCCATAGTATATCTGTGTTATGAGTGCGGATAAGTTTTGGTTTTCCCTCGTGCAACAATGTTAGGCAGTAAAATTAGATGCCCCTTCAAAGCTTATGATAGAATCAAAACGACGAAGTAAAACTTGTGATAAATAACTGTGAAAACACTACATATAAAAAAAATCAAAAACTGTAAGATGAATTAAAAATCCATTGATGTGCTGTGTCTCTTTATGACATGGGTGACCATGGCTCTCCACAACCTCCTATCCATTGTAGCTCTAAACAGATTCTGTCCTCTATCCTTGACAGTCAATGTTCTACCATTCATTTACACGATCGTTTGTGCTAGCTTTCTCGTTGTTTTCCCTCTTCTCCTCTTGACTTCAATAGATCCTGTGAGTGTCATGCTCTCCAAGCCCACTTTCTCATTATATGTCTCAACTTTTAAACTGTTTCTTATCATATCCGTCCTTGTTTCCATTTTCTTTAAAACTACCTCGTTGCTCACATACTTTGCCCCTAGAATTCTCATCCTTTTTTTGTAGAACAACATCTGTGTAACCTCAAGTTTCTTCTCCCCTGCGAATATTGTCAAGCATTCACTCCCATATTGTCTGACTGATATTAAATAGCAGTCTAGTATCCTCTTTGTTTCTAACAAAATTTTCCTGTTTCTTAATACTTTGGTTAGCTTTCAGAAGGCATTTTCGATATTCCAATGCGCCTTCGAATGTTGGAGCCATATTTTCCTTAAAAGTAAAACAGTACAAGATCGGGTTAAGTATAAATAAAATAAAAATTAAGGTACCGTTTTTGAAAAGCCACATAAATAAAATGAAGAAAATATTGTAAAATCATTTTAAAATACTTAATCTTCATTCTAAGCGCCCTACGAGGCTGGCATCCCGCTCCCACCCTTACACTATAGAATCTTTTAAATTTAGCTGTCTCTTCTACTCCAATAGCTTCATACCTCGCACCTCTCGCCTGTGGAACACCCTTCCCAATTACTGTTTCCTTGAGAGCTATAATCTCCAACTATTCAAATGTAATGTCAATCGACACCTCCAGTTACCTTGATCTACCCACTATCCCTCTTCTCATCCTTTCTTCTATCACTCCTATCTGCTTTTGCTCCAAATCTTCTGCGTCCTAGTGGCTTCACGCCTTGCTCGGGGCGTAATGCTTAAAAAAAAAAAAATTCCAAGAATTACTCGAACTATGGAAGTTATCATTTTTTCCGTTATCTCAACGTTTTAGACGATACATCTAGTTTCTGTTCGCTACTATTGCTTTGATAAAAGAGAACTTTATCTTTCTTACGGGGGTTGATCATTTAAAGAAGTCCATGAAGAGCATTCACAATGCTGCTATAGTAACTGTGTTAAATAACGACAGAGTTAACATAGTGCGTACTGAAGCTGTATTAAGCTACAACATGGCTGCCGTGTAGACGCCTTTTGTAGTTATGGGCGTAGAAAAGTTACAATAGAGAAGGGAGGTAACTCATCACCCCAGTAACAACATTCGAAAAGACAAATAAAGAAAGAAAATGAAGAAGAAATTCTTTCGTAGTTCGAATCATAATGAAAGGTATTTTCTTTAATTTCTTTAAACAGGAATCCAGGACAGGGTAATGAGAATCACCGAACCGATGATTCTTGGCAAATTAAGAGAAAAAGAAGGGGAATGTTGTTGTTGCTGTTGTTGTTGTTGTTGCTGCTGCTATTATTATTATTATTATTGTTCTTGTTATTTTTATTATAATTATTATTACTTTTATTATTATTATTATTATTATTATTATTATTATTTTCTTTGATTTCTGGCGTTTACACATTTCTTTCCGGGTCCCGCCCAGGGACCTAAGATTAGAAATGGCAGCATGGCACTTTCCACTGACAAAAAAAATAATTACATAGATAAACCCCTTCGTAAAGTGTGGGCTGCACTTGTCAGAACAATTTTTTGTATCTCTTTGAGGCATGGACTTCCAGGAATCCCTTCAATTAGTCTACTGGAATCTTTTCCAACCAGTCCTAGGGCTCCAACTGCAACAGGGAGTGTTGATGTTCCCATATGCCACATTTTTGAGATTTCTATTTCAAGGTCATTATTATTATTATTATTATTATTAACAGTAGCAGCAGCAGCAGCAACGACAGTGGTGGACATATTACATTTCAGGGAACTAGTAGCGCGGGGGCGGGAGGCACCCAGAGAAAAGGTAGCTTGAACTGAATTGAATTACTCAAGAGATTTTTCTTCCTTTTTCAGCAATAGAAAATTGAGTTTTTTTTTTAATTTGTTTATATAAAACTTAAAAGAACGCAGAAGAATATACCATATCATTTTTGTCACGCATTTGCTTTGTTCTTTGTTTTATTTTAAGACCGGAAAAACTCCTTTTAAAAAAATAATTCAAGGATAAAGTTATTAACTAAGCCATTTCGATTATCATTTACGTATCTGAAATATTTAACAGAAAAGAAACACGGTTTGGTTTAATAAATAATCCATTTGCTACAGACACATCAGAGATGTAGGGATTATCATCAAAATCAGTGTTGACACAATGGATCAGTAACCCTTAAATGAGAGACATTTTTTAATCATTTCACCCCTAAGCAAGGCAATAAACCCACTAAGACACTGAGTGTGAAAGAATAAGAAAAAGAAAAATATTATTAATAATCGAGAACAAGAAAAAAGAGAAATCAAGAAGAGAGTTGATAACGATTGGGATTGCATTTAAATTTTGAAGATAAAAATTAACTGGAAAGCAAGAAGTCGGATGAGAGTTCCACAGGCAAGAAGCGCAGGGGTGGGAAGAGACTGTTAGCAAAGAAGTTACGGTTACATCTAGTCAATTCAACTCTAAACAGATAAGAACTTGTTGACAACCTTGTACTGAGATTAAATTCATTTGGCACCCAAAAGAATAAATTCAAATTTAAGGAGAGGAAACTTTCAGTTATATGTATAATTAATATCCTTTCTGGCTGCCGGATCCTTGGCCTCAGATTGGTGGGATGTTGAAAATATATCCATAAGTAAGCTATGACGCTGAGGACATCAGTAAGATCACCTGATGTGCAAGATTTATTGAAAACCCACTAATAACAGCCCCGAAATCAGGCGGGTTCTATTGACTCCAGCTTCTGCAATTTACAGTAAATCTAGCCGTGACAGCACTTTCTATACAGAGGTTGACCAAAATATATAATTTTGTAGGGGTGAGGTCCTTATTATACAAAAATGCCAGTGAAACTCTGCAATAACTACAGTCAACAGGGTCAATACACAAACCACTTTGAGTAAATTTCAAGACAATAAAAAAATCAATATGTAATTAGTTAAAAAACTAATGTATGCGATCATGACTCTCCACAAGTTCTTTTCTTTATTATTTGTAAATTTCCATACATTCTTGGGGAAAAAGTGGAGTGGTTTCACGTTGCCTTCTCTATGATCTAGAATTCAGAGTTTTAGACTAATGCCTGCTAAGGTTAGAGAGCACTGTCTACCCTTCTACTTCTCCCATAGTTGGAGTAGTGAAGAAGAGAGGATTCATAGCTTAGTGCGAAAGGGAAATCAACTCAGAATTTGAACTCGTTCCGCCGATTTCACTTGCTGCACCGCTATCAGTCGCACTTCCTGGACCGAGGTCAGTACCAAGAGTCGATGACTTGAAGATGGCGTTCAAGTATGAAACATTATCTTTCTTTTCTTTTCTTTTATTTTTTGTTTGTTTGTTTAGCGGCATATCAACATCTCTATGGGTTATTTAATGTCGAAATCTAAATATTTCATAGGCATTTGTTTTTTTTAGATAACAGTGGTTTTAGTGATATAAGTATTACTAATTAACCCATATCTGGGGGAGAAGAGGTAATTCATACCTTTCCCAAGGTGCGTAAATGAATATAACGAACTCAACTGGAATTGGAACTCGGCTCTCCGATTAACAATTCCGAGCCATTATCCATTACACCTCTCACAAATCCAAGCTTACAGCACCTGGTATTCCCAAGCGGTCACCCATTTAGGTAATGACCAGGATCAATATTGATTAACTTCGGTGATCGTACGGGGTCCAGTGGTTCAATGTGATGTGGCCGTAAGCCTGAAACATACTCTGTCTGTCTGTGTGTGTGTGTGTGTGTGTGTGTGTGTGTGTGTGTGTGTGTGTGTGTGTATGAGACAGTGTCATCAAAAAAATTAATTAAATTTAATAAGACGCTAGCTTTTGACAATAATTATACGCTCATGATATCCCAACATTCGTACACTTTTATAATACTCTCCACTTATCCACGGGTGATGCCGATCCTGAAAAATTGCATAATAACGAGATTTATAGTATATTTTTCCGATGTCTATACCTATGTAGTATAGTAAATTTTTCATACATATAAAAAGATGTAGTTAAGACGTAATAGAGAACGCAAAGCTGTGGAGAGCCATGATCGTGTATAATAGTTCACAGATATTAAAGAATTAAAATCAACGGAGAGCCATCATTGTAACTAATAGTTCAAAGATATTAAAGACAAAGAATCTGTTGAGAGCCATCATCGTGAATGGTTGTTCATAGATATTAATGACCTGGAACCTGTGGAGAGCCATGATCGTGTATGGTTGTTCATAGATATTAATGAACTGGAACCTGTGGAGAGCTATGATCGTGTATGATTGTTCATAGATATTAATGAACTGGAACCTGTGGAGAGCCATGATCGTGTATGGTTGTTCATAGATATTAATGAACTGGAACCTGTGGAGAGCCATGATCGCGTATGGTTGTTCATAGATATTAATGAACTGGAACCTGTGGAGAGCTATGATCGTTCATGGTAGTTCACTGATATTAAAGAACTGGAAATTGTGGAGAGCCATGATCGTCCTAAATGGATATCATATTTAATGTAATAATTCAGTTTCCTGTCATTTTTTCTTCTTTTAAAAAGCTGAAGCACTAGGAACTTTATCACTTTAACACAAAGAACACATAATAGTGAAAGGTGACACTTGATTGTCGTGACCTTTTTGTATTTTCTTGTAACATTTCTGTAACAACTTGAAACGATTATGTTTCATTTGAACGATTAAATGATGCATAAACAATACTTGGTCAACATTTTAGCTTGCATGACTGTAATAAGGCCTACTATTCAATTCAAAATATTTCAAAAAGTGTGTTTTTTTCCTAGATAATATATATTTGTGCAATGTTAAGAAAAGGAATCTGCTTATATTTCTGAGATATGTACATTATTCGGACTATTGTCCTCAACTTTGTCGCCATATTTATCACAACGTTTCGGCCGCTTTAGGTGGTTGGAATGTCGAACTGAACACTTTATTTCGCTCACTGCTCTAGTTCCACGTTATCAGTTATCTCCTGTTAATTTTCCCTCTCAAAGTTCTCAACTGCTTTAACCAGGTATTGAACTCACACTCTTTGGGTTCTGTCACTGGATCTAACCAACGCCTTTATCCACTTTGCCATGTGTCCTTGAGGACATCTAGGTATGAATTTCTGGGTATTACAAAACTAATGTCTTCAGCAACCAATTTTTTACCAGTGCTCATATTGCCAATTTGCTGTTATCATTGCATGTTTTTACCAGAGCTCATATTGCAACTTTTGTTGTTATCATTGCTTTTCTCTGGCACTCCTTATTACTGGTTCCCATATTGTATTTATTTCTATGCTTGGTCGGCTCAGCAGATTTTTGTGGCCTAGCATATGTGCTGATTCCTTAAGTTTACGAATTTTCCAATGGTGTCCCCTGTCTATGATAACGTTGTGATAAATGTAGCGACAAAGATGAAGACAATAGTCCGAATAATGGAAATAATGTAAGAAAAGGAAATCTCTGAATTAAAACCTGCGTTGCCTTGCGGTCATAACAATGGGAAAGTCTTCGGAAGTAAAGCCTGAGGACAAATCCGGGAATGGTATCCCTAAATCAGTCCGATGTTATGTTCAACTCCTTTCTGGCAAGTCCTGCGTCGACGCTGTACTGGACTTTACCTTTCCCTTGGACATCATCAGTGGGGAGACGTGCTGTATAGGGAACCGCTGATGCGTTAATTTTACTATTTGCAAATAAATAGGGATGTCTACTCAATCACGTATACCCACTAAAATAACGATTATATATATATATATATATATATATATATATATATATATATATATATATATATATATATATATATATATATATGTGTATATATATATATATATTAATGAATGTATACTTAATGGTTCTGTTATATAACGTTGAGTATATATATATATATATATATATATATATATATATATATATATATATATATATATATATATATCCACATGCAAATATATGTACGTATATGTATATTTTTATCATATCCAAATATATATATATATATATATGTGTGTGTGTGTGTGTGTGTGTGTGTGTGTGTGTGTGTGTGTGTGTTGGTTAACATGCGACTGTGACAAGAATTGTTCAATCGGCAGAGATGTATAAAACTATCTTTATGTATATAAAACATTTCTAATAACGTAGGAATATCTATCTATCTATCTATCTATATATATATATATATATATATATATATATATTATATCATAAAGAAGTAATTTATATAAAGAATTAATTAGCAATGTTAATGGGATTAATGTCGAAATCACTTCGCTAACAAGACTTAATGAGACATTAACTTACTATCAATTCCTTCAATAATACGATCCTTATATTTGAGTTTTTGTCAGATGGAATTGACGAGCCTGGACCGAGTACTTTCAACAATTTCAAATTGTCATTTTCGGGGCTCAGTGTTAATAAAACACTAAAATTTTATAACAATAATAACTGTAATGCAGGTACCAATTCTAATATACTCCGTGTAAATGACCTATTTGATTGTAGGAGTCCTGACCAATGTCCCTAACAAATGCTTAACGGAATCCATTGTATAAATGTGTTCTGTTTCATCAATTGAAGATCCCGGAAATATTAGGTTTTAGCACTAAGAATGCTTTTAAAAACGGTACTGTAGCCATCTATTTTTTTTACTAATGCTAACAAACGCAATATGACTTCACTTTCTTTGGAAATTGAAAGACGCAGACAAGACATCTAAAGTTAAATGGGAGATCCTCAAACAAGCCAGAACTTGAAGATCTTCATATGAACCTTGTTTTTATGTCTACAGAAAAAAATGAGTATAATTAAACTTTGGAATAGCGGTCAATTGTTAAATCAGAGAGTTGAAACTACCGTGAATTGTAGGCACATTAAGTATTTAACCTTACTATCTTGCTAAATTTTTAACTTAATAATCACTTCTCTTATGTCATTTTGCCTACATATAAACATTTTAATGTTATCCTCACTGATTTATCTTAAATTAAGGTCCGAAATAGCTTCGTACTTGTATATTACTGGTAATAATGTTTGTTGTATATGGAGTTATACTTATATTACGAGTTATAAGGTTTGGTAATAGTTTTAAATTTATAAAAATTCATATAAATATTTTAAAATTTATATTTTATTTATTTTTTAAAATTTTATTGTGATGTTTTACATACTTTTATTTACATACTATGTTTAATTTTGTTAAATAATATGTTTCTTTCAAAAACGCCAAACTTTAATTGTATTTGAAATATTTTCTATGTTACAACCATATCCAGCAAAATTTGAATCTCCCTGCATGATTCCATCTCAATGTTAACGTTTTTTCATTGGCTGAATTGTTATCAACAACTTCTATTGTCTTCCTTTCTTCTTTTCGTTCCATCTTTTCTTTTCCTTTTCTTTGTATTAATTAATTTTGATATATTACTCTTTTTCGTTTTTCTATTCTTTTTCTTCCTTTTCGTCGGAGAAGGGATGATTTTTATGTTTTTTTCTTTCTTTCTTTTTCCCTTTATTGACTTACCGTGCTCTTCTTTTTTCGGCTATAACCTTGCATATATAATTATTTCTTTCTTTTCATTTGATGGAAATTTTTATATATTTCTTTCTTTTCCTTTTATGGAAATTCTTCTGAAGTCTTCCTAAATTTTTTATATTGTAAAAAGAAGTGATGTTTCATAAGTATCACTTTTAAATAAAATCCTTTATAACCATCTTTTTTCACCACCTGATGAGATGCTTATGTTCAGGCATCGAAACACATATGCATCTTTGTAGTGATTACTTTTTTGTTTGTTTGTAATAACTTAAAATAAATAACTATTGCACTACTTTTGGTATTGAGTCCTCTTTTAAATAATGTTATGAATGTTTGAATTTAAATTCTTCTCGTTCTCATTACATTTGGATACATACATATATATATATATATATATATATATATATATTTGGATACATATATATATATATATATATATATATAATCATATTTTAAATAAATAATTATATATATATATATATATATATATATATATATATATATATATATAATAAATGATCAGAATTTATCTGAAAATGTAGACGCACAAACGCGTTTTTTACTAGGTTACTAGAAAACTAAAAAAGAACTCCTTGTAAAAAACCACCATCAAAAATGTAGATATATTCGTTATATACAACGCTGATAATGTGACATACTTTAGTCAAAGCCAATACTTTCGACTAAACAAATAAGATAATATCTAAATATGTAAATTATGTAAATAATAAAAGCATTAAAAAAACTATAAATGCACATATAAACACAAGTAAATATAATAATAATAATAATAATAATAATAATAATAAAATAATAAATAAATAAGGAATCAATAATAAATATATTTATAGTTCGCAAATATAATTTGAAATATAACCGTTACTGCCTACTTAATAAATATTAAGGCAATTGTTGGATCTAATCCAAAAGGAATGATTGCTAAATTGTTCCCTCCTAAAATTTACAGACAAATCCTACAGATGTATGTTGCGTTCTTTTCCCGATCAATAAAATGGACCCTGTCTTGGTCTAATCAGAAGTCAGAACGCTACAAATATTTTGTATATAATATATATTATACAAATATTTTGTATATAATGTGTATATATATATATATATATATATATATATATATATATATATATATATATATATATATATATAT